TCCAATGCAACTTAAATCGATTACATTCCTGGAGCATTGAATGTTACATGGATTTCAATGTTACAAAATGTAAAACAATGCGAATTACGAGAAAGAAAACTCCCAGGTTGGAAACTGATTATACCATTGATAACAACTGGCTAGAAAGAGTAACCTACATCCGAGATCTTGGAATCAACGTCACCAGTGATCTAAAGTGGGCTACTCATATTTCCGAAATAACTTCAAAGGCAAATAGGACACTTGGACTAGTGAAGAGAACATGTGTGGATCTAAAGGACTTAAAGACCAGAAGGTTACTTTACTGTACATTAGTTCGCCCACTATTAGAGTATGGAAGTGAATTATGGTCTCCCTATGAAAAAAAAATACATTGCACTAATTGAAAATGTCCAACGTAGAGCCACCAAATTTATACTAAACTATCCAAAGGACACTGATTACAAAAGTAGAATGATTATGCTCGATCTCCTTCCACTTGAGTCTCGTCGGCAAATGAAGGACTTAATATTTCTCTTTAAACTCAAGAATGGGTTATATAGTCTTGACTTTGAGGAATATGCCGAGAATGTTCAGATGAAGCCTCAATCTGGTTATAATTTAAGAAATTCTCATCAAGATAATTTTTCTGAATTTAGGTATAGAACAAACTATTTTGGTTATTCATATTTTCCTAGAGCTATACGCTCATGGAACAGTCTACCTCCTACTTTAAAAACTATTGCAAGAATAAGTACTTTTAAAACTGCATTAAAGGAACTCTACTCTTTGAGATTGGTAGATAGTAGTGACTTTTAACTTAGCTGAAATTATATAGTATTGACAATGTAGTGTTGTATTTAATTAATGGCATGTTATGTATGTATGTATAGTTAAATGGTAGCTGTAATCAATTGGGACTATGTCCTGTGCGGCCACCTTTTGCCAATGTAAATATTTTATTTTTGCAAAAAAGTGATTAAAAAAAAAAAAAAAAAAAATTTCTTCATATTACTTCTGAGCTGTTTGATCCGTTTGAGCAAATTTCCAACTCAATACTCAATAGAGTCTATCTCGAGTTTCGAAAATATTTAATTTGCTTCGCAAAGCACTGCATGTAAACAAGCGCATAATTTTGAGACCGACTGCTCGTAGTTTGAGACCGACTGGATCATTTGAGACCGACTGGATCACACACACCACATTTACGCCCCTGAGTGTTGTCCATCGGACAGCACTTCCCTGCCAGTAATTATTTATTGCATTTCTTCATTTCTTCACACAAGTGGGTTACAAATATATGAGCAACATGCTTGGCTACATGTATATACAGGAATGTCCATTTTACTAATTAACAGTCCTTACAAAACGCCATATTGTAGAGACGCCGATTGGTGTACATGATTATTGGGAGGTGGGTGGGTTTTTAAAATTTTCACTTTGCCAAGGTTTCGATCCCTTGCATTATTAGCCAAACATTTTGCCAGATATGTTAACGCACTGGCTAAAATCTTGCGAATGAACAGTGCACGTCGAAACTGCGATCAAAAGTCCTTGCGCAAAAAGGGGACCATTGTATGTATGCACGTGAAGGAAAAACCTTCAGGATAGTTTCTGATTGGTTAATCCCAAGTTTGCATCAGTTGTTCACATGCTAGTAGCCTAAGCTCGATTTTTATCTGATACTTTGTGATGTTAACAGGACTAGAAAACGGTTCCCTTGCTCTACCAAGGTACTTGGACCTTGTACGGATTAATTTTTGTGACGCAGATGTGTTGGAAGACTGAAAACACCCTCGTTCTAGAACATATTACTCCATTAACCGCAATTTATAGCTTTGCAAATTGATTATGTAGAAACGTGGTGTTCCGTGGAAGGCGATTTTACTGTCTCCTGTTGTTTGGGCTTTCGTTGCTGCTCATTTTTGTCAGAATTGGGGATACTACACTTTACTTACTACGTTACCAACTTATATGAAGGCAGTTCTGGGGATTGAATTACTTGCTGTAAGTATCGGATATATATAGCCAGTAGACTATTATCACAGTGGGTTAACTTTATAAAGTGCTCCTCCCCCAAAACTCCTAAAAAGCATCCTAATGACATATGAATAGTGTATATATGTATTTACAATATTTATATTTTATGAATGTTTCATACCCTATTATTCACAGTAAGCAAATGACCGATATTTTGTGCTATTTTGTCTTAAGTCTTGCGACCGAAAAATGCAATAACTGGAAACATTGGCACATAATTTCGCAATATCTCATTATTCACAAAGCGTGCATGCATGTGTGAACATATTATGTAAAACTGCTAACAGACGACAACTATGATGTTTATTACTTTGCAATCAGAGGATTGATGGAATGATGGCTTTCTTTCCTTTCTGTTGCTGCTTTTGATGCTTGTATATCACCTTAGTTTTAATGATTATCTTACCTTTAGACTGGTTTCTTATCAGCTCTTCCATACCTTGTCATGACAGGAGTTCTTCATTTAAGTGGCTTCACATCAGACTTTGTTATAGCAAAACGATTCTGTACGACCACGTGTGTCAGAAAAATATGTGTTTGCATAGGTAAGAAAAAACATCTGACTCGAAAAATCGACATAAATTACTGTATGCTACAGTATGTGTTATCTTAAATTAAGCCATCACATACTGTATATATGCTATGGCTTAATTTTTATCAAGCGCGTAGATCTTATTACAGGGCCGATCATAATATATATAATATATACCGGGTGGCGCAAAAAAGTTGCCCTGTTTGATTTTTTTAAACTTAAAAACTAAAAGAGTGTTTCACTTAAACTACGCGCATTGCATTCAGTATTGTCTAACTTAAATTTTGACATACGCCCTAGGTGCATTTTCGTGCAATATTGACCGAGAGAGCTGCGTTTAAACTTGATTAACCATTTTTGAAAGTGTCGAGAATTAGCCAAAAACAGCCTATCAAATACTAATACAGCAATAACCTGTGTTTAGACACACTATATAGTCAGAAAGTACACGTTCGTTTTCAGAGACCTGCCCAACGCCGCCGGAATAACCTCACGAGCATTATTTACTCTTGCATACTCTAACCATGCATATCGAAACTCTTTGGTCCTTCGTTAAACGAGGCGTATTTATAAAAAAACACGTGACGTTTCTTTATTGGAACATCAGAATTTGATTCCCCAGGGTCATTGAATATTTAGCATAAATCTTTCAAACAAAATCGCGTCATAAGTTAATTTTCATGCATTCCCAAAGATTTAAAAAAAAAGAAAAGAGCACATCCATCCAATAAACATTTTTAACTTAAACTTCACTTCATTGAAACGAATATTTACGATAAAATGGTAACGGTTATCAAATCAGTTTAACAGGCCGTTTTTAGCTAATTCTCGACACTTCCCAAAATGTTTATTCAAGTTTAAACGCATGTGCAGCTCTCTCGGTCAATATTGCATAAAAATACACAGGGCGTATATCAAAATTTAAGTTAGACAATACTGAATGCAATGCACGTGGTTTAGGTGTAATAGCTCTTTTAGTTTTTAAGTTAAAATAAATCAAACAGGGCAACGTTTTTTTGCGCCACCCGGTATAAAACATGAGCATGCAGTCAGTCGATCAGTAAGTGATTTATCACATTGTTGTTTCTCGGACTTACATTATAGGTTTCGTATTTCAAGCCATATTCACAGTGTCTGTTGGCTACACAACAAACGTAGATGTGGCTGTAATATTATTGACTTTTGGAGTTGGAATGGGAGGTTTTGTATGGAGTGGATTCAGTGTAAATATGATTGATATTGCACCAAGATATGCAGGTTTATTGATGGGAATTTCAAACTGTATTGCAACTTTACCTGGTATAGTAGGACCACCAATTGCAGGAGCTCTAACACCGAACGAGGTATGTTTAAGATTATTTGTAAAAGTATAATTGCACTTGACTGTGAAAATTGAAAATCGCCTACAATGCAATCGCCATTATTAAAACATGATAGTACAAAGTAGAGTACATGTAAATAGTACAAAAAAGACTAGACTATAACAAAGGTATACTTTTTGCTAAACAGACTGTTGCAGAATGGCGATCCGTATTCTACATTTCTGGTGGTATCTCGCTACTTGGTTGTATTTTATTTGGTCTTCTTGCATCCAGTATAAAACAAGAATGGAATGATAATGAATATAAAGTTATACCCTCGTCCCCTATCAACTCACCAGATTGAATCTTTTCATATCATCTCCTGCTGGTAATTCATAATAATTTTGGATTGTACAAAAGCTAGTGATAAATGAAATTTGACTCTGTTCTCAGGACCATGCAGTAATACCGACCCGCTACCGTAGATGAAAGAGCCTAGGAACGAGGTTGAACCGCTATCTCCATGCAATTAAAACCTAAACATTAAATTTTACGCTTCATCTTAAACTTAACATTTTATCCTGTAGGAAGAATTTGTTGTTAAATAGGAATCTTATAAAAATTAGTGTAAGATGTGGAAGGTTAATATATAATTTGTATAAGTATATAATATGTATGGTTTTGAGTGCAATTTGGGAAAAAAACATGCATGCATGAGTGAGTTTTTCAAAGACGATCTAAGAGTCTTTGAAAAATTCACGAGTGTATGTTTTCCCAAATTGCACGAGAAACCATATTAATACCATTAATAATAATATACAATGCATGAAAAAATTATGCAGAAGCCAATTCATGATCATTTGCATAGTTGCATGTATAAAACACATGCAAAAACATTTTTGGCACTGTATTTGGATAAAATTGCGCTGAATTGGAAATCAGAACTAAGAAATCAAAGTCAAGCCAATCAGAATTGAGAAATTTTTTATGTATATTATTATATTAACCTAAAAACATGATACTAGCCTCTTCACTAAGTCTATATTTTATTGATTCAATGAAATTGAATTGTGTGAATATATTTCTGATTACATAAAGATTACGACTGCATATAGAATGTGCAAATTATGATTATAAATGCATGTATATTGTTTTGGTTATACATGTGATTATAAGAGTATATAGTATAAATTATTAAATACCAGAGTCAATATTGGTATAGTGTTAGTATTATTTAATACAATTATAAAATTCGTTGAAATTAAATAAAATATATTATTCTAAGGGCTCGACATCGTCCTCAACCTCCCATTGATAGTATTGTTGTTGGTCATGAGACCATCATTCAAACTCAGTGTGCGAGAAATATTGGAGCACTATTTGATAATACCCTAACAATGGAACAGCAAATTTCTGCTATTTGTAAATCCGCCATTTTTCAAATCAGAAATGTTGGTCAAATCAAGAAATACCTTTCTGTTGATTCTAGCGAAATTCTAATTCATGCTTTCATAACCAATAAATTGGACTATTGTTATAGTATATACTACGATTTACCTGGTTAATACTTGATTCAGAGACTTCAATATGTACAAAACTCAGCAGCAAGACCTTTAACTGGATCTCGTAAATATGATCATATTGCACCTATTCTTAAATATCTTCATTGGTTACCAGTACGGCGAAGAATCGTTTTTAAAATTTTAACTTTAACCTTTAAGGCACTTCATGATGCGAATTCTCCTGAGTACTTGAAAGATATGCTGCAGCTTTACAATCGTCCGCGCAGCCTCCGCTCATCCTCAAAGAAATTACTTTCTGTTCCCAAATTTGAATTGAAATCGTATGGTGCTAGAGCTTTTTCTGTTTGTGCTCCTGTTCTGTTTAAAAACTTAACAGATGATATCAGACAGTCTGAATTATTAAACGTTTTTAAGAGTAAGCTCAAAACATTTTTATATAAACAAGCCTTTTTAACTTAGTTATCTAATTTTATAATGTATACTTATGACTAGGTAAAGCGCCACTGGACATATGGAAGTGGCGCTATATAAATTATGTATTATTATGCCTGTCAATGACATTTCATACGAAAGCTATATTAGTTATTCGACTATACATACGAAGTAAAGTAAGACGTTTTGTATGCTTTATGACTTTATTTAAAACGAAATGATACAATTATATCAAACGGAAGTGGACAATTAGTAGAAACGAAGTCTGAACTAAAACTTATTTAAACTATAAGTATAACCATAAAGAAATCATCATCAACATTTTCAAGTTAGTCACAGTGCTTTAAACCCTCTCAAGCCGTAACTTTACTTCTTTTGTATCTGTAAGAAAAACGTTACAACGATTTAATAAGGCCATGTTTATTTAATGATGCTCTACCGTCTGAGCTACAAGTCAGACCAAGTTGGGAACGTACTTATTTGTGATGTTATCTATTTGTGTGATCTACAAGAGTTGAATCTGAAGGAGAACACATGAAACATTTACCAGAGTAACAGCAGGCATCGAAGGAAGAAATTCCGAAATGTCAATAACATATTTGTCAATGTATGAGTTCATAAGTGTGAAAGTTGTTGGAAGAATTAAGGGAAACCAATTAGTGAAACGTCACTCCAAAAAATAAGAAAAAATCCCAGAATATCTACAAATCTTCAGAAAAATTCCTCAAAATATCTGAAGAAAATTAAGAATTCCTTAAAATCCCCTCGACTCACTTGAGATTTTGATCGCCGTATTTCGTACTTCTTGGAATAATTACTCCCCTTGAGTAAGGTAATAAATACAACTCACGCAAACAAAACCTCGTACCCAGGGCCATCATAGAGGCAATCAGCAGATAATACATTTCTAAAATATGCAGCTGTTTACTTAATTTATATACAACTCTTACTGTGGTCACCAACATTGCGTCATTTTGGGAAATCTCTAATTAAGCAACATCTTCACACTTACCAATGAAAAGACGTTCAGCAGGGATTGGTGCGATAAATTTCCCACTTGGTAATTCCACAGCTACAGTAAGGTAGTCCGTACTTCGAGCCTCCTTCACCGTCGCTACAAGCTCGTAGAATTTCCCTTTCTCCAAGTAGATCGCCTTGGATTTCTGAGCAGGATACTGACTAGAATATAATAAAAACTAAACTTAGTCTTGGGGGTTCAGCGTCTACCATGGTGTGGGTATAAGGCCCGTTTCAGACTGCGTACTTTTGATGTGCCGAATTACGTAGGAGTACAGAAGAGCAACAAATAAACATTGAAAAAGGCATTCGCTCCAAATGTCGAGTGTTTTAAGTATGGACATCTGAGTTTCTGGCTTGACCATATAGATAATCTGTGTGTGTTTACAGTGCAATATGGATTATATGATTTATATCCTCATGTTCCGCGCACAATAGGGTTTGGGTTGGGGATATATTTGCGAAAATCAAAGAGAAAATTATTAATATATTCGTGCGCGAAATACGAAGATGTTACCAAGACATGCTACACATTCATGATCGTAGTAGCATTCTTAAAAGAAGAATTTTAGTTCCTACACGTATATCCTTCAAGAATTAGAAGGCATGTTCTTCATTCACAAATGCGCTGTAGAAGAACTGGAATAATCGAGCATAATTAAACAATTGAAATCAATCCACAGATTTACGGCTCGTACATATTCACCATGCATATACTTTACCATGCATGACAGATCACACTACAGTCACTACATGTTTGGGCCGTCCTTACCTGCGACGAAGCCGATCGTAAGGGCATGTAGTAAAACACTGACTACCGGAACACCGGAACACCGGAACACCACCATTTTGTTTGGGGTTAGGGTTAGGGTTTGGGGTTAGGGTTGGGGGTTTGGGTTGGGGTTAGGGTTAGGTGGTGTTCCGGTGTTCTGGTGGTGTTCCGATGGTGTTCCGGTGGTGTTCCGGTGTTCCGGTAGTCAGTGTTTTACTACATGCCGATCGTAAGGTAGGGTTGTCATGTATATCTAAAGTGGTTTTGTTGAGTCACCATCCAATAATCAGGGATGTCAGCCCCGACGGGAAAGGTGGCGCCTGCCCGTTGCCTACACTTTTACCAAGTGTGCTCCTCAAGACTTGGAGTACATGTAATAGTTGCTATAGAAGGTGTAATAAACGAACAGGTGTCACTTTTGCGTCGAAAATACGGTCAAATATAACTTTTTAACATGTTAAGATTAAAGAATGTTAAATGTTCATAACGTAAAAATTATACGGCATTTTCTATAGCCACCTGCATTAAAAACCATCTTTATCCCAAATGGAGCTCAGAAAAACTTACGGATGTGCTACATACTTACTTCCAAACCTTATATCTTGTGGACTTCATAAGTGAAATTATTTTTTCCAATTTTCCTCCACTTTCCCAATCTCTTAAAAACACTTCACATTTGTCAGTACAAGCAGCATATAATGTATAATTGCCAGTCTGTAATGGCTACACAAAGAAAAGAAAGTCTCAAGTTTAGGGCATGTTTTGGTACGACAATTATGGACATCAAATGTATATTGGAAGAGAAATGCATAGCATGTAGTTGTTTTGTATAGGTAATATTGTTTCCGATGCAATTCGGAAAAAAACATGCATATTCAAGTGAGCTTTTTAAAGACGGTCAAAAATCACAAGTGTTTGTTTTCCCATGCATTGGACGAGACACCATACCCATTACTTATTAATAATAAACATGCACGAAAAATTATGGAGAAGCAAACTCATGGTCACTTGAAGGTGTGAAGCACCTGCGAAATAAATAATTTACTTACTCATTTGAATGGCACGACAACTTAATACATGTTTTTAACTGTCAGAAGTCAAAACTTAAAGCAAAATGTCTTTTGTTTTGGCGCTTACCTGCACGTATTTCTTTTTTGGCAAATTAAATCACGATGCACTTTATTAACGCGTTAATTTCAAGGACTGGATTATTTTTTAATTATCGTTTAATTAAATTACCTTAATTTGTTTCAATAATCATCGACAATCGTTTAATAATAATTTTTAACAGAAAAGTTTTTTTTACAACTGTATATCGATATTCTCAATGTCGGATTCGATCCATCAATAATATATTCTAATATTTCAACACTAACATGGATGAAATGTCTATTCGTATGCTATGTCTTTTCTCAAAACACAGGATGTTTGCCAGGGAGATTCGCTTTAATCTAATTTGATTGTAGGCGCAATTCTCGCGTTTATTTAAATCACGAATTAAGAATGATAAAATAATATCCTATAATATATACAGCTGACTTCTGTACAGTCAGTAGACTGTAATATGGGTTCTGCTCTACCTGATACACAGCAGAAAGTCTTCCTCCATAATAATTTCCCATATTTTTGTAGTCAAATGTCGAGAGTATCCTTTGTTCATCAGGGTTGCCAGGATATTTTGGGTCATTGTACAGTTGTTGAATATCTGTAGTAGCAAGATCTCTCCAGATGTTCACTTTCACTCCATGTTTGCGGTAACCTGCATGATGCACGTGTAAGAATTATAATAAGTTTTATAACCAATAAAAGAAAATAGCTAAGTATTTTTTGGATTACGCTCAATTAGATCTAGTTCTTATAATAGTCATTATTAGATCATATCTGCTTTCACCCAGCTCTAATGTATCGACCGTTCAGGTATGCAAGCGTCACGGAATCTCAACTGGATCACAGATGATAGATATACCAGATGTCTCACTCAGCCAAAATTGTGTCCGCGTTTATGAGCACGCGTTGGCCGCCATTTTGGCAGTAAGTGTAATCCACGCCATGAAACGTGAGCAATCACGCATTTTGGCAGTAAGCGCCATTTTGGCAGCAAGTGTCGCACGCGTCATCTGGCGTGATAGCCTCGCGAAAATCGCGGACACGAAAATCGTAGGGATAGATACACAGTGAGACATCTGGTATAATCTATCATCTGTGACTGGATGTAGATTGCGATAGAATCAAAAGTGTACCAATGAATAAGTCAATATTTATCACTTATAAGTGTCAGAGTCTCAATAATTCACCTGGTATTCAGAAACTGTAATAAAACCGACCGGCAGACATGCTGAAACTCTTGAAAAAACTTTGCTTTGAACTTGCTGGTTGACGCGAGTAGCTCTTGCCTCACTTCCGGTTATATGACCAGCGCGTGATACGGTTTGTCCAATCGGCAAACAGTTCACTTTTGACACTTGCTATATACAAAGTATTTTAATAAACCACACCACAATGGCACCACTTAAGGTGGCTCCCTACAGTTAGTACATGATTATATAGATGAGATGTCATCCTCATGACATGATTATATAGATGAGATGTCAAAACATGATTATATAGATGAGATGTCATCCTCGCATGCAATCTTCGTGGCTCTGTAAAATATTGAAACGAGCAATGTTGAAGGTTTTTGGCGTTTTTGTCTGCCAAGAAAACGCCAGTTTTTCATTGTAATCCTAAATTTTTGGTGTGTTCTTACGTATTTGCGTTCAGCATTGTCTTTTATACTATGCTCAAAATTATCAACTTGTTGTGTCGCGGACTGAAATGATACTGTCTTCAATGAACTCTTGAACCGTATATAAGTCCTGTCATTCAACTTAATTCACATCTATTGGTTTATCTCCTAAATCTAATACAACAGTTACGAGTTGTTTCATACGAAAAGTCAAACGTTTTGAAAAGTTTTCACACCGATTTTAACAAAAACAAATCTAGAGAAACGCTGGATTAATACAATGCGTAATAGTGTTTTTATTATTAGTATTTTCAACACCAGTCTTTTATTTTCATGTCAAACAAGTCAGAAATATCTGTTTTCGTATGTAAGCCAAAAAGTTGAAATGAAAATTACTAAAAAAGAACTATAAGTCACACGCGTTTCGTGTTGTTGTTCACCTCGTATAATTTTCGTAATTTTCGGTTTTTCTGTAATTGTCACTCATGGATATCTCAAAAACTTATCCTACATTAATCTCCCTTCAAATTTTGATATGTTACTCCTTTATGGACCATAAATCATCAAAACAAATTTCAGAAAAATTCACCAAAGGAAAAAATATTGTCGATACATTCTGAATTAGACAATAAAAGTGCATTAAAACTGTTTTTATTTGTTTTTAACAGCACACAGCTGCTGTACTTTCCTAAGAATGACGATATTGCCCTCTCTTAAGTGTATTCAATATAAATTTGGTTGAAAGCGAATGTTACCCAAAATACATAAAATTCAGAGAACTGTAGGGAGCCACCTTAATTAGTGATTACTTGCGAGTGGTGAGCCAGGCGAGAATCGTAATATCGTATGATGAATATTATTGCCCAGTGAGATTCATCAGACAATTAATATATCACGGATGATTTTTCACATTTCTATCCGACTGCCAGATTTTCTAGGCAATGCGCGGCGACTATAAATCTCCGTAACAAATTTTGTTTACGTTTCTGTTAATAGTTCAGATGCATTAATCTGTAGCGCAGGTTTGAAGTAATTTAAATTTAGTATTTTAGCATTGAACTAGCATTCAAGATTATGATCATACTTGTTAACTCTGAATCATAGACAGCTATTTCACATAGCGGTAAGATCTTTCTGATTCCAGGAATATTAATAGTAATGTACTGTCCAACCAATGGTGGATCACAATAGAAAGATTTTGTTTCTCCACGACGTATAAAATTACGGTTGCCGCACCTGGAAAGTAATAGTTTCAAGAATTCCTAACAAAGACAAGTAACCAACTTTATTATTAAAATTAAAACTATATAGATAGCTCCACCGGCTCTAAGCTGTTCCCTTACTGGTTTGCAAAGCTAGTGCCATGCATGCATGCATGCAGGTACAGTGTCGGGAATCAAATCCTGGTCGAAGACGGGAAAGCGTCATGGACTCACTAGTGTGTCATCACCTGGTACGAAGATAGAATTACTTTAAAACCTTCTGACAATCTGCAAACTTACTTTGGGTTTATTACACCGTTTTGGTCCAGGCTGTCACCAATATGAATCTCAAAATTTTGAAGTTTGTTTCCTTGTTTGTCTTCAGTATTTGATATCAATAGTCCATAAACCTATATATAACAATAAATAAATAAACAAAACATTCCGTTAATTAAAGGTGACTTAACGCACTGTAAGCTAATTATTTTTTCATTTTCCTTATTTTTCCAAGATAATTATTTTTCATATATGCAATACTAAAACATACGACAAACATGACATAATAAGGATGTAAAGACGTGAAACATTTCGTGCTTTCTGCAACCAAATTATTTCATAAAGTACTTCATCATCCTCGTCCTATTACTCCTATACACGATTTAATAAAAGACTATGAGCGCTAAATAAGAAACGAGCAAGAGTTTCAAGTTCAGACTACAAATTCGCATCGTTTGACCATGCATTTCAGACGAGTCTCTTGAGAAGCGCCAGCATTAGATATTATATAATAACTACAGTAAAACACGCAATTTGATGGTCAATAGCCGTGCAGGATCAGGCTATCCTGCAAGAGGAATTAAAATGCCTTCGCGGGATTCTCAAAATATTCGTCATTGTTTCACTGTAGTTATTTTATAAAACAGTTACCAAATGGTTTTAATCCATGCACTTGGGATGTTGCGCGACTTTTGGAAAGCGTAAAAATACACTCGCCTGCGGCTCGAGTAATTTTACGCTTTCCGAAAGTCTCGCGACATATGGATCACGCAATCCTGCACAAAAAGTCATTCGGTATTCCTTTAATCTTTCACTGAGTATATCGATCATAATAAACAGGAAATGTGCACGCAGCAGTGTCGTTTCGATAACTAAACATGCAGGAACCGGAGGAAAAAGTCTTAATGTACAAATAATGCATCAACTCGTCGTTAATAAATGAGCCAGTGAGATGCTTCATATCACAAAATTAAATTTCAGATATACGGTATTTCACTCACCGCCGTAGAAGTTTGTAGCTCTAGCCTGAACCAAGGGTTATTTTGTGTCTTTGTCACAGCACATGAACCACCAGCGATAAAATGATCGGCATTACCATCTACAGCATTCTTGCTAGCTGTTTGACTTTTCCATGTTGAAGATATAGCGGTTGGCTGATTTTTGGCGATGTTTGCTGAAATTAAACAAAAGTAAAATTAACTATTTGCCATCATACTTTTATTTTTCAATACGGAATTTTCTAGTTGAATTGTTTTTGAACACCATTAAAATATTGGATATCAGCAACACATTTAAATAATAAATCTAAGGAATTTTAGCAGGGACAACAGTAGCCTGCATGGCAGGCGGTATTTCTACGGGCAGCGAAAATTAGGGAAGCAAAGGAAATACCGTCTGCCGCAAAACTAGGGGTTTTTGAATTACCCGTCCGCTGGTGAACGGGAAAAACGGATTGGTTAGTATTTTTATGTAGTTGTCAATCAACGGCTAAATTCGGTTAAATGTTAACCATTAACCAAATGTTTTGACGTTTTGAAACTCTGCGTTTTGAAATTAGTTCACGTCAAGTCAGACCAGAAATGGAATAACATAATAAAAGAAGCAAATTAAAAGATACAAGCTGAAAAATAACACTCTAAATAGTGATATTGATAGAGATTCGAACAAGAATATTTAACAAAGAAGATACGTCCGAAGGGGCCGAAGTTATGATCGGCGAAAGGTATGGGCTAGCCTATATTTTCGTTCAGACAATTACATGCGTATTAATTTGATAATATACTATCTCGCTTGACATTCAAAGGCCATAAATCGCAATAATGTTGACATTTTACTAAAACTATCGATAGAAATTAGGAGATATTTCTTCACTGAATCGAACAGTGGGATTTCCATATAGGCCTATCAGTCATGTTCTGAACCAAAGATACTTGATAGATATTAATATATACGAACCTCCAAAGTATGAACAAGGGGCCGGTTGATGCAGTAATTATCAAATAACAGTTAAACTCTTATATACCCGTTGAATATGTATAGTTGTAAACAAATAAAAACTATCGTTCTATAAGGTTCAATACTTTTAGTTTGGTTGTTGACTGATGATGAATCTATAGTATAGACTTGCATGCTTTGTATTTTGAGCTTATTAAACCACCGTTTTAAGGCAGCTAAACGGCTAAACGGGCTTGGTTTATATTAACACATAAAATAAATTCCTTGATTCTCATCACTAGACACAGTCTACACTTTGAAATGTCGAAGACAGTGGGAGATTTATTTTTTTATATTTTATATTTATATAATTTATATATCAATAGTTCGTATCTCCACAAACAATGACAGAATGACTGAGTTTCTTTAAAATACAATGAAATTTCACTCAAAATTCTGTTTGTTTCAAATTGGAAGTTTAAAATGGCAATAAAAACTCTATATAAAATATGAAAAAATTAACTGTCTTGAATTATTTTGTCGGGCGGTACATTTATATTGTATAACGAAAAATAAAACGTTTTCACGAGGATTTTATGTTGGGCAGTTGGGACTTGGGAGCAGCTTGGGAGTGGCTAATTTTGAATATTTACTTAACTAATGCATCTATAAATAGCGTTGATGCTTCAGGGGCGGTAGTTCATTTACACCCAGTTTTGCGGCAGGCGGTATTTCCTAC